TATATTAATTAATTTGCATGAAAATGATTGTGTCTGCAAATGACGATATACCTTGTGTATATACTTTTATTTTTTTGTTTAAATACCAGTACTAGTATCAGCTACTTATAGCGGGACTGTGATGGTACGGCAGGCATTTCTGACACCTAACTGATACGGACATCACCAGTGACATTAACACAGTGATCAGTGCTAATAAAATGCACTGTCAATGTACTAATGACACTGGGTAGGAAGGGGTTAACATCTGGGGTGTGCGAATGCACCCCCTACCCAGAAATGCAGAATCACATGCCTGGTGCCGACAGTGAATGGGCTGACAAAAGCCCAGGAGCCAGGATGCAATTTCTAGTCACCATGGCGACCTGGTGCCTGGGATTTGTCAAGCTCTGCCTTAAAACATTAAAATTGCTGCTACCTGCCAAACAATGTTTTTGGTACATGTCCCCCAAGGCAGTACCCAGCCCCCTATGCCATTCTGATTGGTCAGCGCCTGAAAAAGTTAAAAGGCCAGTTCACACACAAGAACCTGGTGTGGGAAAGGTGTGTTCTGTGTTTCCTGAACCGTGTTCAAAATGCACTGCCTTTGCGATCTGCTGCAGTAAAAGGACGGCACTCTATATACAGATAGCATGGTATCACAGTACTCCATGGATGTCACTTTTGTGATATCTGTCTGTTCAATGTTGTTTTTTTTTGTTGTTTTTTTTTTTTTGCAGGATTTAAAACCTGCTTTCCAGTCACATATTGGTTTTATGGGTGGCTGGATATAAGTGGACTTATGGCCATTTCCATCCGATCTGTCAGGTTTAGGTCCCAAAAAGACAGACAGAAAGGGACCCGGCTAGATAAAGAAATGGAAATGCTCTGCCAGTTGACTAACATGGAGCTTCTGATTGTGTCCCCCCTGAGAATCTGACAGGCAGACCAGATTGGGTGTCCAATGTGAGATGTGTGTTCACCGCTATCCACCCACATCTGGATAAGTCTACTGGGGTGCTGTTTAGCAACCGCTGAAGATGGTTGCACATTAGATCGGCTCCTCACCGCCCGGGTGTACTTCACCCACACACCTTTCAGTGACACCCTGCACCCCATCCTTTACTCTTCTGAAATCCCAGACCTGCTTGGAGCCTCTGGTGAGGATCACCAGGTCTCTGACCCCTGTACCAGAGGTACCGCTCTACGAACGGGAAAATGGCAGCCACCACCTCGTGGTCTGAGTGAGTACCCCAGGCCAGCAGCCACATTGCAAATCTGCACATCCGCTCAGCCTACCTCTGCTTCTTGCCCACCCCACAGCTGGACTCCACCAGCTGCCAGTCTGTCGTGGTGAAACCGGGCCTCCACTTCCTGTGCCGCTCCTCCATGCCAGCTCCTGGTCTGTTGGGCCCCTGCAGCCACACAGGCCTAGTAAGAGACCGCCGCAGCTGGTGGGCGGACTGTACCCCCAAGGAGGGAACCGCTAACACCTCCAAAGTGGCATGGATACCGCTGCAGCCCACTGCCCTGATTCAGGCCTCCTACACCATTGCAGTACCTCCACTCCACAGGCTGACGGTGTCCTGCTTAATCCTTCCACCTGTGGCCCCCTGCTCTCCCGTTACAACCTGAGCCTGTTCCTGTCTACTCTTAAACCTTGGTCCCTGTCTGCTTTCTGTGAGCCCTGGAGGGCGGAACTCCCTGTACGCTGGGGAACCACAGTGCCCTGTCCACCAGTTAAACCAAGGCCCTGCCTCCGCTTTACTGGACTCCGGCTTTAGACTAATATTCAGCGCTTCTCCTAATATCATATAATCTCGCTGCCTCTGGCAGTGTATTGCGGGCCTTGACATTCCTCACAGTTATTCTTAACGACCACTACTGCTCCTCCTGGTACCCCTGGAACCATGGGAACTCTACTACTCCAGCCAAATCAACGGTTGAGCTCCTCTAAGACCTCAGCTACTCCTGCTAAAAGGCCTCCATTTAAAATGGCCTCTCCGCAACCTTCACCTGAACATCCAAACTTGTCCCAAGAGCTTGTAGCCCAACTAGATGACACCTCCGATGACAGTCTTTCTGCAGTGCAAATTGCTGATTGCACCGCGGCAACAGTTTGAGATTCAGCTCTTCTTAAAAAGTTTAAACTTCTCCTTCAGCAGGAATTGAATACTGCACCGGAACAACTCACTACTAAGATCACTAGCGAAATAAGTGACAGGATTCCGTATTGATGATCTTGAACACAAAATGGATGCTATCCAGGTGATTGATAACCACGAACAAGATATTGTCATTATCAAATTGGATCTTGCTTCCACCCTCAAGAAATTTGAGGAATTTGAGAACTGCAGCAGGAGAGGTAATTTCAGGATCAGGGGTCTCCCTGAATTCACAGAGAACTTAATTCCAGGAACTCCAATTTAAAGACTGGACAGACAGAATCCGCAAGGCCCTGGGCCTGAAAAAGCCTGAAGGTCCCCCCGCAACATCATAGTCAAAGCTGCTTTTTACAAAACCAAGGAGGCTGTCATGCAAGCAGCCTGGTCTAAGAGGGAGCTGACTTTTCAATCTCACAAATACCGAATATTTTCTGATCTGGTTCTACAAACACTCTTGAGACACAAGGAATTGGAACCCCCTTGTCCAACCTTTACAAAACCACCGCATTAGATATCACTGGAACTTTCCATTCAAACTAACCTTCTCCTTTCAAGGCCATCCTTATGTTTTCACCATGCTGGAAGATGCTCAGGAAGTCCTTACCAAGCTGCAGCTCATGCTCCCAACTTCTACTGGCTCACAGGCCTCTCAATCTTCTTTTCCAAATCTCGCCTTACTCCTCTTTGGGAACCTCTGCCTAGGTGCAGGACATAGTCTTCTAGGAAAAACTAGATCAACTTCTAGACCTGAAGTCCCCAATGAAGAATCTCCACCATCCTACCATCTTTTTTTTTCTGCCCTCTTATTTTTTTTGAGCTGGTCAACTATTTTTGTACCTCCTGCACCTCCCACTAGGGTGCTCCAGGACGCACCCATAGATTTGAACATACTAATTTCTGTGCATGTTCTTGACTATGGTCTTGGGTTCTCATTTCTCAATATACATGTTATTGTGTTTTTATTTACCTCTGGGAACTTGCTGCCACCCTTGGGGACCCCCTAATGGTTTACAATCTTCTATTTACGCCAATCCATAGGTGCGGTGCCGTAAGACCTTACTACTCAACCAACCTACGACTTTAAACACTAGGTTCCTCTAAATCATGGGTGCTAGACCCCATTAACGATTTTGCCTTTTGCCCCCACTTGGATAGACAGTGACCTCCCACTTCTCTCTACTGGTGCTATCGGTATCTGCTCACGAGTCCGCGCATAAGTGTGTTTTGATATCACATGCTTCTTTCCCCCATCCCCTCCCCATTTTTTTTTTTTTCCCCTTTCTTTTTTCCCCTTCCCTCTTATCCTCAAGGTCAGGCAATAGTTTTGATACTTTTATCTAGCATGTTTTAAGGTTATATACTGCAATGTGCACCCGGCTGGCCCTGGCACCCACCACTTATGGCAGTGCATATGATCACCACCGTTTATTGCTTAGGCAATTTCTTCTTTGACATCCCTGCGATTGAGCCTAATTTGCCCTTTTGGTATTCTCCCTCCCAATCTTCCTTTTTTTTTTTTTTTCCCTCTTTCTTGATTTTCCTGGACATCACAACACCTGAGTCTACCATATTCGAGCCAGGCTGGACCTCTATTGTGTCCTTTAGCTTCTTTACCCACCATGATGGCTACCTCCAAATTTGTCGTAGTGTCCCATAATGTACAGGGTTTGAACTCCCTGGAAATGTAAGTGTGCCTTTAATTACTATGTCTCACTACTCGAGCATGTTATTGGGCCAATGCTACCCTAAACCCCCCCCCCCCCCCCCCGGGCGAGAGAAACACCTTCAAAAGCCTGGACATCCCCAGGAACAAGAGTCGGGCTCTGCATACACAGTCAAGCAGACCACAGCCTCTCATGGATCCCACCCGGTTCTTATGCTGCGCATGTCTCTTCTTCCGCCACTCCCTCCCACCACCACCCCCCCAAAAAAATTCCGCTCTAGACAAATGCCTTATGGTGAATATGCCCCTGCCCAGGTGTTCCCGGTGACCATTGAAGAAAGAACAGAGGCGTCTTAGTGGTATTTCATAAGAGCTCTCCCTTCATGTGCTCCCTTGAAATCGCACAGACCCTACAGGTCAGTATCTAATCTATGTAAATGCAGCTCTACTTGGGTACATGGACAATTACATCTTTTTGCTACAGAAAAGAGGGCATTTATTTTACAGGAGCCTACAAAGCATGTCACCTGAGATTAGTGGATTGTGGGTGCAATGCTGAGCTTCTGCAGACTCTTCCTCCAGCTCCCTGCCTATACCTCTGTATGGACTTTTAGTTAGACAGAGCTGGAGGAAGTGTCAATGGACTACATGGGCAGTGATCAATACACTTGAATTCTATTATGAAACTACAAGTCTGCTGTAGTGGGACTTCGTTCATTCATTCACAGATCTCTTGGAATGAATTAGACAGCTGCAACAATTTCAAATTTGATAGCTGGCACAACCCTGGGACGATGTCATATGACGCCCTCCCAGAGAGACGAGAGGTTGCCTGGCCGTCATTTGACTAACATGAGGCCGGGCGGGAAGTAGTTAATAACTATTAGGCAGGGCGGGAAGGAGTTAATATGGGCATTTTATTGTTACATGAATTAATACTACTTACAATAGATAAACAATAAAGCATTATTCAGACCAGCCTGCTTTCAATGGGCTGCCTATGCAGCAGACCAAAAAAAAAATACACCTGCACTAATTTTCCCAATGGAGCAAACCACAATACACATGTAGTGCTTTTTTAGTGCCATTTAAAATGAATGACATCCCACCACAGTGTATTGTGAAGATTAGTCTTGAGGTTTCCAGCCGCACCCAAATAATCCTTCACTGTGACAAGCTAAGACTTTGACTTTTTATTTAGCATCCTGGCACAACACAAAAGTATTCCAATGTCTACAGTTCACATCTACAACAGATAACTTTGTTTGAGAAAAAAAATTCACACGTGTTGGATGATCCAAGCTCTTTATATCTCCATGGCCAAGTTGGCCATATCTTCCTGCAAATTAAAAAAAAAAAGAAAATAGTTACACACAGCGTTTTAAAGCAAGCAATGTTCTGCATTAAAATTCCCGACTGCCTGATTTTATTTGTGTTTACACAACTCTGCCATCCTGCCAAAATATAGGGAAATGCTAAGTTCACCTTTGGAGTATATTACATTCGTATTTAGGGTGTAACATTTTCCAAGACCCCCCCCCCCCCGCTCCATGACAGAGGGCAGGGGTTCCTTTCTCCTGCAGTCACTGTCACTTTTAAAATTGGCCCAGCTGTGTGGGGCTCTGTCCACACAGCTACTTCATTCATTCACAATGATCCGGGAATGAAGAAACTAGAAGTCTCATGTGCCAATGCGGCAGATAGACTTGTAATTCTCACTGGACTATGAGGGTGCTGATCAGGGCCCTTGTAGTCCATTGATACTGTTCCAGCTTTTAAACAGAAAGCCCATGGAGAAGTATGGGCAGAAAGCTAGAAGATGTCTGCAGGAGCCTGACATTGCACTCACAATCCACTGATCACCTTTACGATGCTTTGCAGACTCCTGTGGAAAAAAGATAATAAATGCACTTTTTTTTTTTTTTCCTACAAAATATGTGCATTTATTATTTTTCTCTTTCAGGTGCACTTTCTTTTAATAAAGAGTGAAGCATCTAAGCACCATCTTTGCATCTGGAGGAAAAGAGGTTTAAAGTGGAGTTCCACCCAAAAGGGGACATTCCGCTTTAATGCTTTGTCCCCCGCTCCCTATTAAGGATTGGCACCTTTGGGGGGGGGGGGGCGGGTACCCGAGTGTGACAGGTACCCGCTCCCACTTCCGCTGCGATTGCCTGGGCGATCAGAAGTGGAAGTTGTCCTCCCTCCTCAGAGTCTTCTGGGACAGGTGACAGGTCCCAGAAGACTACAGGGCCATTCACAAAGCACAGCGCTTCTAGTGCACTTGCAATGGGCACCCATCTGTGAAGCCGCAAGCTGTCACACCCAGCTGCCCACACTAAAGATGTCGGCACCAGGAAGAGAAGACGGCCGGTGAAACCAGCCATGGTGAGGACACAGCTGGACTGAGGGACAGTATTTTAAAAGTCAGCAGCTACAGTTTTTGCAGCTGGAACTCCACGCTAACCTCTGAATACAGAAAGGCATTTTCATAGTAAGTGCTTTAGTATAACTTACATTAATGTTTTGTTAACACCAGTGTGTTTCAGGAATGATGCAAAACTGTATTTGTTCCTGCAACGCACGAAAATGCATGGTTATGATGCAGCACAATTCTCAAGAGATACGCACTTCTTTTGTGCTTTTTTTGCGTGTACGGCAGCACCTTGCCCTAAATGCAATGCAAAAAATCACATAGAAACAAAATGCACCTGCATAGGCCTGAGCAAAGCCTTAGGGGATAGGGAAGGATTTTTTTCCCGTTGGAGCAAATTGGACCATGCTTTCTAAGGGTTTATTTGCCTTCCTCTGAATTCACCTTATACTGAATGGCATAGAATTATTATGTGGCTTAAATGAATGGGCTTCTCAAAATGTGATACACAAAATCGCACAAAAACCTGCTGCATCGCACCTGCATAGGCATGATCAAAGCCTTAGGGAAGGATTTTTTTTGTTTTCCCTGTTGGAGTAAATGGCTTCCTAAGGCTTTCTTCCTTCCTCTGGCTTATTGTATTCTATAAATTAAATCATTGCCGGGACAGCAAAATCTGCACTAAGCATTTAGAAACAACGCACACAATCTTTTTAACTGTCTGGTACAGAAGAAAAGAATTTCAGAAATTTTGATCTTGGTATTAAAGTAGAAATTTGAAAAATATTTGTTTTGTATACAGCACCATACATAATGTGTAAACCTTTAGGTGTCTGCTTCTGCTAAAAATCTCCCCTCTGTGTCCCCTTCACAGCCGCTAGATATTGTCCTCAATGGCTGCATTATGGTGCTGTGAGAATTAACTGCAGCCACTGCTACTGGGAAAAGTTGTGCTACTTGCCTGCCCCCTTCTACTCCCTCCACCATTCACAGAACTCGTATCACTATAATCCCCCAATGCATGTTCTGTAAATGGAGAAGTTGGGTCTTCCCTGCCTATTCACAGAACATGATAAATAGTGGGAGTGTTGTGATTGAGTGGAAAACCTCCATATAGACAATCCTATATTCACAGTAGATCCAGAGGGAGGCAAAACATCCCCAATAAAGCATGAACCAATTTGCTGCAGTGGGGGGAAAATTCCTTCCTGATCCCCCAGGAGGAACCCCTGGTACTAATACCTATAAATATTAGCATCCAGTTATATTTTGTGCATTTAGGAAATAATCCAGATCTTTTTCTAAAGCAATCTACTGAGGTGGCTAGTACTAGTTCTCAAGGAAGTTTATTCCACACTTTCACAGCTCTTATATTTGAAAATTATATCTCTTTTTCTGGGAAAGGAATCGGGCTATTCTGAGGGGAATATTTTTAGCAGAAAGTAATAAAATACACACCGTTACACATAACCTATGCGTATCCCACATGGAAGAAAAATATATTTTGAATATATTTTAAAAATATTCTTCCCAAATATATTGACATATATTTGAAATACTACAATTTTGGCCATATTCAATATATTAAAAAAAAATATATATTTACACACACACACACTTTATTTTTATATATGACAAAATATTTTTTTTTTTTAAATATATTCTTCAGATTTTTTTTAACATATAAAAAAGTATTTTTTACAGCATATATATATATATATATATATATATATATATATATATATATAGAAATATGGCCAAAAGTGTAGTATTTCAAATATATGTCAATATATGTGGGAAGAATATTTTAAAAATATATTTAAAATATATTTTTCTTCCATGTGGGATGGTGCGGTATTCCAAGACAAAAATAAATATATGAGAGTTTTTCAAAGAGTTTACACACTTTTTTTAACACACACACCTCAAATAAAATTAAAGAAATGCTTTGAAAACACATCAGATCTCAATGGGGAAAAATATCATGCTGGACATCTATACTGATATGGACTGGGTAATGTGTTAGGAAAAGTGCAAAAATGATGCAGCAGGCTAGTCCATTTTGCTGAAATTTCATTGCAGCAACTCAGAATGGTCCTCAGTAGTTTGTATGGCCCCCATGTGCTTGTATGCATACCGGACAACGTCGGGGCATGCTCCTAATGAGATGACGGATGGTGTCCTGGGGTATTTCCTCCCAGATCTGGACCAGGGCATCACTGAGCTCCTGGACAGTCTGAGGTGCAACCTGGCAGCGTCGGATGGACCGAAACATGATATCCCCGCTTCAGTCGATCCTGAATACGGCTGCCAGACTTATTCAACCTTTCCAACCGCTCCATCTCTGCCACCCCCCTCTGCCAATCCCTCCACTGGCTTCCGATTGCGCAACGGATCAAATTCAAAATCCTAACACACTGACGAACAAAGCGTCCACCATACTGCCCCGAACTACATCACTGACCTAATATCCAAGTACCGCCCAGCACGCACACTCCGCTCCTCACAAGACCTCCTTCTCTCTAGTTCCCTGGTCTCCTCCTCCCATGCCCGCCTCCAGGACTTCTCCAGGGTGTCACCCATCCTCTGGAACTCCCTGCCCCAACCCATCAGATTATCACCTATTCTCCTCTCGGCGCACCCTGAAAACCCACCTCTTCAGGGAAGCCTACCCCCCCCTGCTAACTTGCCAACCCTCCTCCACTCTTCCTACCACCCCATCCCCCACAGCTATCTCCTCCTGTGCCACCATCCCCTCCCTCCTAGATTGTAAGCTCCAAGGAGCAGGGCCCTCAATCCCCTCATGTTTTGCATTGTATTGGTATTGTTTTGTCACATGTTCTGTCCCCCTTTGTAATGTACAGCGCTGAGCGAACTATTGGCGCTTTATAAATACTGTATAATAATAATAATATCCCAGACGTGTTCTATTGGATTTAGGTCAGGCGAGCGTGGGGGCCATTCAGTGGTATCAATTCCTTCATTCTCCAGGAACTGCCTGTATACTCTCGCCACATGAGGCTTGGCATCGTTGTGCAACAGGAGGAACCCAGGACCCACTGCTCAGGTTGAACCTGCTCTCATCTGTGAAAAGCACAGGGCTCCAGTGGCGGCCCTGCCAATTCTGGTGTTCAATGGCAAATGCCAATCAAGCTCTATTGTGCCAGGCAGTGAGCACAGGGCCCACTAGCGGATGTTGGGCCCTCAGGCCACTCTCATGAAGTCTGTTTCTAACTGTTTGGTCAGAGACATTCACACCAGTGGCCTGCTGGAGGTCATTTTGTAGGGCTCTGGCAGTGCTCATCCTGTTATTCCTTGCACAAAGGAGCAGATACTGGTCCTGCTGATGGGTTAAGGACCTTCTACGGCCCTGTCCAGCTCTCCTAGAGTAACTGCCTGTCTCCTGGAATCTCCTCTATGCTCTTGAGACTGTGCTGGGAGACACAGCAAACCGTTTGGCAATGGCACGTATTGATGTGCCATCCTGGAGGAGTTGAACAGCCTGTGCAACCTCTGTAGGGTCCAGGTATCACCTCAAAAATGTCAGTGGCCTCCACCTGTAAAACCATTCCTGTTTTCTGGGTCATCTCATTGTTGCCCATCTAGTTCACCGTTGTTAATTTTATTAACACCAAAGCAGCTGAAACTGATTAACAACCCCCTCTGCTACTAACCTGACCAGATCTTTCATTGACGATACTATATGCCTATTAATTTTTTTGAGCAGTGTGTGTGTGTGTGTGTGTGTGTATATATATATATATATATATATATATATATATTCCACTTTAACATAAAAATGTCAGCTGGAGACAATGTCATTTACAATCAGATTATAATATCAGTGGTCTTAAGAAATATCTGGATTTACAGTGGCACTGCAATCAGTATGAACAGAGGAGAAAACACAGAAAGAAATTTCACTTTCTCTTCATGGAAATTTCATGGCCCATGATTTACTTTTGATAACAGTGCCTTGGAGTCACACTGATAACACTGACACACGCCATGAGCTACTCCTATGTTATATCTAACAAGCTTAGGACACAGGAGGGAAAACATGATTGCACTACAGTTTAGAGAACTCCACTCATGATATAAACCACAAGAAAATATGCATAATAATAATCTGCATGCATTGTCTTTGTTCTCCTTTAAGGATCCACATAGATCTCTGCTCTGCACAGTGGAAGTATGGGCCAATTAAAGGAAAGACATATAGGATGCAGTCTGTCACCAGCATTAAGGCGTCGTGCACACTGAGGGGTTCATTTACTAAAACTGGAGAGTGCGGAATCTTGTGCAGCTCTGCATAGAAACCAATCAGCTTCCAGGATTTATTGCCAAAGCTTAACCACTTGCCCTCCTGAGGATTTACACCCCTCCCCCCCTCTTCCTGACCAGGCCATTTTTTGCCATATGGCAATGCATTACTTTAACTGATAATTGTGCGGTCATGCAACGCTGCACCAAGTTTTGGCCTGAAGATTACTTAAAGTAAAGATCTAAATAGCAGACACCCTGGGTTAGGTTGACATTGTCGTTCATATATAGAGATTTACATGCTGGTGCTGCCACCCACGTAAATGTTGCATCGGTAGCAGAGAAAGGGTTAACACATATGAATAACATGTCACCTACCTTTGACCCAATTTCCTTACTGTTATGAAGTTGCTGGGGTGGTGGGGCGTGTGGGGAAGATGGCCATGACCCTGGTTTAGTTCCTATTTCCATTGAGTGACTTTCTTCCACCTCCCCTTTTCCCCTTCCTCCCTCACCCCCATTTTTTTTTTATTTTCTGTGACCTTCATTGTTTATGTTATTATCTTCCATTCTATCTGGCCCTTGAGTGTGCCTTTGGGGGAGTGAAAAAAAGACCCAGAACCAATACTTGCCATTTAAAGCGATACTCAATGTTCATTTTTTTTTTTTTAAATAACAAACATATCTATACTTACCTGCTGTGTGTAGTGGTGTTGCACAGAGCAGCCCAGATCCTCCTCTTCTCAGGCCTCCTGCCGGTGCTCCTGGCTCCTCCTTTCTGCAGGGTGCCCCCATAGCAAGCGGTTTGTTATGGGGTCACCCGAGCAGGTTGTTCCCAAGCTGCTGCACCATGTGTCCATTCACGCATAGAGCGATGGATTGCCCCCCCTCTTCTCATTGGCTGGCTGACTGTGATTGACAGCAGTGGGAGCCAATGGCTCCTGCTTGCTGTCTCAGCCAATGAAGGGGGCAGAGACCCGGGACAACCAAGGTTGTTGTACACATTGCTGGATCTCGATGGGGCTCAGGTAAGTATTGGGGGCTGTACACAGAAGGTCTCTTACCTTCATGCATAGAATGAGCTTTTACAACTACTGTAATCTACTTTCCCCTTTCCATTATTTCCATTATATTTCATGTCTATGGCTCACGATAGAAGTTAAGCACACAGGTTCATCTTTTTCTGTGACGCCATAAGTACCGTGCTTGTGTTTAATGTTAATGTGTATTTGAAATGATGACGCTCTGTAAACAAATTGTGAACGATGTGTAGATTAATCATCTACAGAAATACCTTGTACTTTGGAAACTGAGAAACATTTGTTGGACCTTAAAACATAATAAATAAATAAATGCTGATTGTAAGAAGCACCCCTTGTTGGTGTCCAATGGTTTGTCCCAACCCTGTAACTTCCACTTTTGCTGGATATTGTGCTGGTCTGTTATAGGCATTGAAGACTAAGGGATCTACTGGCAGGATCACCAGATAATAAAACAAGGCATTGTTTTCCTCTATATTCTACATTTTCATTGTTGTCTGATGAACAGGTATTTTTTTTTTGCTATTGGAGAAATATTGGAGGAATAATCGGTACTTACCCCAACCCCAAGTGTACAACTCACCGGAACCTGCAAATGACAGTGAATACAAATTAATGAACTACACCTTCCACAGTAACCTGAAAATGGACAGAGGACAAGTGTAGCGCTATCAAGTCCCGCCCTACATGTTTCGTCGTATGACGTCATCAGGAGTGTACTACTGTATCACTTAATATTCACACCGGATGCGAATGGGGGTTTCTTTGGGGTTTTTTTTTTTTTACTTTTATATGTTTGTACAATTATTGGTACTTTATATATATGTTTTATACAATTTCACTGTATACACAGTTTCATGGCATTGTATATGTGCTATTTGTAGCACTATTGTCGTTTAAGCACCTAATATTTACTTATTGGTTTATTTGGGATTTAGTCACTGGGGAGGAGGGATACAATTGCCAGCCCACAGGGCATTATAGCACATGCACATTTGTGGGGACCCTTTGTGTAGTAGGGACTTCATTCATGTATTTCATTAATTATTTAAAGTAGTTTTTGGGAGAGGCAGGGCAGCAATTTTTATGTTTGCACTCACACATTTGTTCACCAGTACACATTTGTGATTTTGCTAGCAGCAGCCAAGCTAATTGATCAGTCATCTGCGCAGGTTATACTCACACACCATAGTAACCTAACAGCAGCCTTGCTTGGTTGCTATAGGCAACCATTCTATTTTTGGTGTGGTTTTCTTACCTTCACTTTTGTAAATCAACCCCAATGATTTGTCATGTCAACACTTCTATTAGAGCTGAACTCTGGGTAAAATAAAAATATTCCCTTGAAGTGGAGAATTTTAACAGTGCAAGGGTTACATACTACTTTGGGTCTAGGGGACCAGAAAAAGCACTTTTACTTACCCGATCCTCCTTTCCTGCAGGCTCCCTCTGTGTTGCTAGACCAGTCCCTGCAACTGCTTGTCCCCTATGCTTCAGGGATCACAGTTCTCTGACATCATCAATTCCAATGCAAAGCCCTGAACTGGACGTGAGGGCACTGAGGAACAATTCACCGCTGCAGCATAGAGGAATGGAGGAAAGCGCCAACTGCTGGGGAGGTGATCAGGTAAAAAAAACAAAAACCTGTCTTTTTATGGTTCCCTGGACCTAGACATTTAGCCCTTGCAGCACAGGGCAGCCCCCCTGTATGGGAGAGTTGTTACTTTCCCTGGAAATAGGCCTTAACCCCTTCCTGCTCTGCCCCAGCATTCCTGTAAAGTGTTACTAAACCCCGAACCCTGCATTCCCTATATCTGGTCTCCCCGGACCCTGCAGTCACTATATCTGGTCTCCCCGGACCCTGCATTCACTATATCTGGTCTCCCCGGACCCTGCATTCACTATATCCGGTCTCCCAGGAGCCTGCATTCACTATATCTGGTCTCCCCGGACCCTGCAGTCACTATATCTGGTCTCCCAGGACCCTGCAATCACTATATCTGGTCTCTCCGGACCCTGCATTCACTATATCTGGTCTCCCAGGACCCTGCATTCACTATATCTGCTCTCCCACAGTACACACAACATGGAAGTGCAATTATTTTAGTAAATATAAACTGCTAAATACCTTTTCTCATCAGCAGTTAGAGCAGTCTTGTGACCTCTATCAGTGTTCAGCTGAGAACTGGTTAAAGCTTGTAGTAGGAGTTTTCTTTCTGCTCTAGGAGGATGCAAAACCCCTGACTTCTGTGTGGACAGTGCTGATTGGCCCTGTGTTGCTCACATGCCTTCTCCCAAGAGAAAAAAAAACTCTCTAGCAATACACACCAAACTGAGCATGCACAGAGTGACTCCACACAATACGGGGACACTGGAAGAAGGGGAGGATCAGAGAAGACAGGATCAAACAGCATTTTTACACATTGCAGAGGATTAATCCCTTAGGTTCCACAGGGAGTATAACAAGCATGCTTTACTGCATATACAGACTGATTTTACTGTTGTGGGTTTAGTAACACTTTAATGTACGGGTGGGGGACAGGAAGGATCGGTGATCATGAAACCACTGTTATTGGCTGTCACAGTGGTCACTTAATCAGGAGGCGGGCCAGACAGCTACCTTTGACAGCCTAGTGAAAGCGCTCTCAGCATAGAAACATCAGCTGCCCATTGACACATATGTGTGGCATGTGGGTGATAAAGTTCACGCTTGTGCTGCTGTACATATGTCTTGTGCAGGTGGCAACAGGTAAAGTAGATTTGGGTGATATTGTGTTTGTTGATACAATAAATCCAATTCTATTACATTTAGTCCTTTGTTTTTTGTTTTTTTTTTAAGCCTGTAGTCTAAAAATGTAACAAAAATCATATTCATGAGCTGTGCCTGTGAGAGAAGTACACCAGAAAATACTGCAAGTACTCACATGTTACTGCAGCCGTGTGACGTGACCCACAGCTTATCTTTGAAGCTTCTGATTCCTGCGGGAGGTCAATCAAAGCTGGGAAGGACTGGACTGCAATATAACCACTGTCTTCATCATCATCATCATCCTCCTCCTTTGCACTTGCATCCTGCAGGGTCACTCCTGAGCAGGAATAAAGTATTGTATCTATAATGCGATATAACAAGACGTGGAGGATAAACGCAGCAAATCAACTTACTTTCTTGTGTCTTTGATGGAAGTCCAAGCTGACCAGATTCATTCCATCCCCAGCAATAAATGTCTCCACCTTCTACATGGAAGAAACACGTAAGTGCAGTTACTCAGAATGTCAGATTAATAATTGGTTTGAGTGCCTTTGAGTGAGTGTTAGTTCACCTTCAGCCCACACTGAGTCCAGCTTTGAGGTCACGCTACTTCAATGCGATTTCAAAGCCACCAATCAGTGCGACTTCATGTGCAGCTTGCCGACAGCTGTGCGACTTCATACAGATGTCAATGAAAGTCGCACATGAAATCGTACAAATATAGTGCAGGAACCTTTTTCAAGTCACAATGATTTGAACGGATCCATAGTCGCAAATAGGGTGAGACTTTCATCTGTCAAGTCACATGACAAGTCGCACCCGGTGTGATTAGGGGCTTAGAGAACAAATGTAAAGCTAATCTAACACTGTACACCCCCTCCCCCCCCCCACCCCTTTCAGTCTCTGCTGTACTTGCCTCCAGGGATGCTGAGCTGTCGGTGCCCACACAGGCAATCTAGTGGACAGAAGCGGAGGGATTTTGCTTCCAGGATGGACCAAAGCAATTCTGATTGGTCAGTGCTGTCACAGGGCATTGCTCTAATCTGTCCTGGAAGCACTGCACAGAAGAGAGAGAGAAGAGCAGATATTTCAAATCCCTGGACCGCTAGACCGCTTGCATGGGCACTGACAGCTCACCAACCCTGAAGGTAAGTACAGTGGGGACTTAAAAGGGTGGGGAGGGTATATGGTGTAAATTCAGATTTACATTTCTCTAAAAGGTGAACTAACACTTTAAGTGTTACTAAACCCAGAACATGTTGTTATACTCACCCTGGAACCTAAGGGGTTAATCCATCCACCTTGTGTAAAAAGGCTGTTTGATCCTGTCTTCTCTGATCCCCCTTTTTCCGATTGTCCCTAATCCATCTGCTGGTAGTACAGAGCCCTAGGAGGCACTCTGCCCATGCTCAGTTTGGTTCGTAATGCTAGAGAGTTTTTTGGGGGGGGTTTTTTTGGGGGGGAGGGGGGGGGTTCATGTGATCATCACAGGGCCAATCAGCACTGTCCAGACAGAACGTCAGGGGTTATGCAGTTTCATAGTCAGAGGAGAATGAAAACTCCTCCTACAAGCTTTAACCAGTGCTGGACAATGATAGAAGTCACAAGACTGCCATATACTGCTGATGAGAAAATGAATTTCACAGTTTATATTTACTAAAATAATTGCACTTCCATGTAGTGTGTACTGTGGGAGACCAGATATAGTGAATGCAGGGTCCTGGGAGACCAGATATAGTGACTGCAGGGTCCTGGGAGACCAAATATAGTGAATGCAGGATCCAGGGGGAGACCAGATATAGTGACTGCAGGGTCCTGGGAGACCAGATATAGTGAATGCAGGGTCCTGGGGAGACCAGATATAGTGAATGCAGGGTCTGGAGACCAAATATAGTGGGAGACGGGGGAGAGAGATATAGTGACTGCAGGGTCCTGGGAGACCATATATATAGTGAATGCAGGGTCTGGGGAGATCAGATATAGTGAATGCAGGGTCCGAATGCAGGGGGAGACCAGAGATAGTGAATGTAGGGTCTGGGGAGATCAGATATAGTGAATGCAAGGTCCGGGGAGACCAGATATAGTGAATGCAGGGTCCGGGGAGACCAGACATAGTGAATGCAGGGTCCGGGGAGATCAGATATAGTGAATGCAGGGTCCGGGGAGACCAGATATAGTGAATGTAGGGTCCGGGGAGATCAGATATAGTGAGTGCAGGGTCCGGGGAGACCAGATATAGTGAATGTAGGGTCCGGGGAGATCAGATATAGTGAATGTAGGGTCCGGGGAGATCATATATAGTGAATGTAGGGTCCGGGGAGATCAGATATAGTGAGTGCAGGGTCCGGGGAGACCAGATATAGTGAATGCAGGGTCCGGGGAGATCAGATATAGTGAATGCAGGGTCCGGGGAGATCAGATATAGTGAATGCAGGGTCTGGGGAGACCAGATATAGTGAGTGCAGGGTCCGGGGAGACCAGATATATGTGAATGCAGATATAGTGGGTCCTGGGTTTAGGAACACTTTAATATCTCATAGTACCTACCACTGATACTGGCTGAATGCCATCCTCCAGCTGCCACTTCTTTCATTGGTACCCCATGTAAAGCTTCCACTATGCGAGGTTCCCAGACATCTTCTACATCTCCATGTCCCAGCTGCCCATGTCTAAGAAATAACAAGGAACAGATCAAACATGTTCATCTCTTCTCAATGACGCTGGTTTACCAATGAATTCATTTCACTCTGTGATGACATTGTAATTCAATTAAATTCAGGTGAATTAGCGGCTTCAATAACAGGCACTTTTACCCCCTTCCTGTCCAGGCCAATTTTCAGCTTTTGCACGGTCATGCAACACAGTACCCATATGACATTTGTAGCATTTTTTCACACAAATAGATCTTTCTTTCAGTGATATTCAGTCGCCACTAGGTTTTTTATTTCTTGCTAAATAAACAAAAAAATACCCAAAAATTTGTGAAAAAAAATGCATTTTTCTCCTTTTCTCTTATAGCATTTTGAAAATAAATAATCTTTCTTCATAAATTTAGGCAAAAAATGTATTCTGCTACATTTTTTTTGGTGAAAATAACCCATATCAGTGTTTATTATTTAGTCGATAAGAAAGGTATAGAATCCACAAACTATGGTAAATATCTGAAAATCGATCAATCCTGATGTAGGGACGGCCTGTTTCTTGAGGCCCAAAAATGTCAGGACAGTACAGATATCCTCCAAATGACCCCTTTTTGGAAAGTAGACAGTCTGAGGTATATAGTAAAAGGCATGGGAAGATTTTTGTCATTATCTTTTGGAAAATTAAATTAAAAATGTTTTCCTCTTCTTTTTTGGTTTTTACATACTGTCACCAGTGCAGTACATCTTCATCATATAACTGCTGTGACGGCGATCAGGGACACTGACTCGTGACAGTATGTAAAAAAATATGTTTTTCTTTTTTATTACTTTTTTTATTTTTACCTCTGTGACCAGAGCACTATAGTGTTACCATAGTAATACTGCACTACTCTGGGCAAGTGATCAGGATTTTTTTTAATACATTATGATTGCTTATATCATTGAATTTCACTAGTAAATAAACAACAATTTTTACTGAATTAAACTGATTAATTCAGTATGTATTGTTGTGATTAGCTGTGATTGGCCAATGCTAATAACATGGTACAGATGTGCTGTGATTGGCCCTATCTGTACCATGTGATTACTGTGACCAGTTACAGCTAGCAACACAATTGTAAGTAATGAATAGCATGAAAGGAAGCCATTCATTGTTCAAGGTCACAGCGATCACATGGTACAAGCAGTGGGCCGGTACAGTGATCAATCATTGGCTGTTTGCCCCACAGCCACGTGCAATGCACATTCCAGGGGGACGTCATGAGTCCCTGCCGGCTGTTATATTACAATAGGCCAGGCAGGAACTGGTTAAAAAACAAATTGTTTCCTATTATTACTACTACACAGGTTTTACATAGAGCCAACAGTTTGTGTGGCACTTTCCATAATAAATTGGAACAGACCAATTACAATGCACTTCAAGACAAGAGGGTTCAGGGGGCCCATGAGAGCATCCAATCTAAAAGGGAGGGCCAAGTGATACAAAAGGTAATAACTGTGTGGGATGAGCTGATGGAGAAGGTGGAGGTATAGTTATTAGTTGGAGGCATGCTAGACTTCCCTGAAGAGATGAGTTTTCAGGGATCACTTAAAAGATGAACAGAGTAGGAGATAGACAGATAGAGGTAGGGAGTTCCATAGGATGGGAGAAGCTTAGGAGAAGTCCTGGCGGTGAGCATGATCTTCCTACAAATTGATAGGGAATTTGAAGTGAATACAAAAGTATTAAAATGATCTTCATTGGAAACTCAGTCCCGGTGTACTTCATGAATCAGATTTACACGTGAGTGAGAAAAGACAGATGAAGGGCAGTATAGGACAGCACATGGAACGCTTGTGGAAATTTGTATCTAGTACAGTGAGGTATGAATGAAACAGACTGGAGGAAGCATCAGGAAACAGCTGAATACAGCTCTGGGGGTTTGGGTCTATCACCTTCAATTCTAATGTTCAAAAGAATGCTTAGACAGCAGCCCTTCTATTCTACTCTCCATGTGTCTCCATGACTCTCCATGTGTGATGGTGCACAATACTGAGGTTTGCCCGAAGCTGGACAATATCCTACCTGCCGGCTCCCCAGGTCATTATTCTTCCATCCGAGGTCAGCAGTACAACGTGTTCATTCCCTAGTGCAATCCTCTGAGCCTGCACTGTGAGCGGGAGCTCCCTGAAGAATGGAGGCTCAAGTAATACATATCCATTGCCCACCAAGGGGAAGACTACAAATAATACAGAAAAGAAACATTTATTTATACAGTGCACATTACAAATTGAAATATTATTAAAAAACTATGTACTTAAATAAAAACCCCATCATACTCTTGCCTGGGAGCAGGATAAATATCCACTGCCATGTATAGAATTTCTTCTTTTCAGTGCTATGCCCTGAACATGTATAAATTGCTACAGTAAAAATCTGCACAATAAAAGAGAACCAATCCCAACACATCAGAGATAAAGCATGATAGTAGCTGCCATTCTGATGGTGGCCATACACTGAACGATTTTATATCAAATCATATGGTTGACAGATCTACTGTCCAATCGGAATTAGAATCAGAATATAGAATGGATCATTTGATGCACCATGTTTAACCATCATATAAAAATATCTACTTTCCTGTGTTCAGATTTTTCTGTCCAGACTGATTAGAATCATTTCATTGAAACTAACTGGTTTTGCTCGAAATCGATCGTGAACAGAGTATGTGTCTTTTTGACAGTCCATAGATCTGATCGTATTATCCGATTCTGGGTAGAGTTTTGCTCGATCAGATCATTACTTGTATGGCCAACAGGTACACATTAGTGTCTGGGCACTGATGTAACTCAGCTTCAGCTAACAATCCAAGCTGAAAAATATCTTCTGGGGTAGTCATAAAGGAGTGTGGAAACACTCTAGGATTCTGTCGCTTCTCTGCACGCAAATGTCAGGGAACGCAACAGATTCATGGACCTAACATGAACATGGATCTGCATGGAGGGTGTGACGAGACTGGAGAGTCCATACCACCATAGTGCATGTTCAGACCTTGCTAGGTAGGATACTGATGGCAGTGCAACCAACAGCTCCTAGCAATTAATGACTCTTCACCATCCCCAATCAGCTGCCAGCCAGGGAATTCCTCAGCGGACAGCTGAACATCAGCCGGACAAGCTGGCTGACAACATTGGCAAAATATGGCAATGGCCATATCTGGGCAATAATATCACCAAGATGGACACTCCAGCCTCATTGTTGCACCCTTCCATGCACATTCATTAACCCCTTTGCGCTGGCGCCTCCCGGTCCTTTAAGAGTTTCAAATGCTGGGAGGCGGGTGGGGTTTTAGGGTCATGTGACTGCCGTGATTCGCCGTCACATGATCGGAAAACGCCCCGATCGGAGGGTAGATAGGGACCTTTCTGTGAGTCATGGACATATGTGCTGGGAGCATGCAGGGCGCGCGCACTCAGCACATATGTATTTTCTAATGGCACGCAAATATGTGGCCTCTCGGCGTCAAGGCCCAGATGCCAAGAGGCCACATAATTGCGTGCACTCGGCGTCTAGGGGTTAATCTGTCACCTGCACCAACATTCTATTACTGTATTTGGACAATGATGTTAGCCAGCATCCCCACCCCTTTGTTTAATTTCAGATGTCAGCTTAAGAATTTCCCAGCTAGCAGCTGAATAGAGCTGGGGATGAGTCATCTGTTGCTAGGAAGCTGGTTGCCGCCAGCATCCTAGTAACCCTGAGCTGTGTGGTGGCAGCGGTTACATTTTGACAGTTTCCCAGCACAAATGCCCAATTCTGAGCACCGAGTCTGTCTGTATGCCATGTGAGTTGGTCTTAATTACAGCCAGTTTGTTTGCCTGAGAAATGACAGTAATTCTTTTTAGAATCTGTTGCAGACATAGTAATAGATTCTAAAAGCTACGGTAGTAAGAACTAGATTATTCTGGTGGCCATGACACTACTGATAACAAAATTGGCGTACAGCTTTCATGAATGAGGTGCAGGCCTTGTTAAAGGGGCCATATCTCCAGAAAAGTGTCAATATCTCTTTATTATCATCGATTGTTCTAGACACATACACACAATGTGAGTCATGCCATCACACTTACATCTGCATTGACAATGGACAGGAAAAGGCACTTGGTGAAAACATTGTCACCTATGCTTTGAATGTCAGGTAACCAAAGTGTATGGGTACATCAATGACTAGGAAACAATTGCCTTTACCAGATTTATTTCCAGCAGACACCGCCATTTTCCACATGGGCTCTGGCAGTGTTCCATCGGGATGTAGGGAGCCAGTGTTCCAGCACTCCACCCTGTCCTTCATTAGAACAATCATGTACTTCTCTGATAGCAGGACATCCTGACAATCCAGACCACAGAAATGGAGGTACCGCTGGGGAGATCCACCAACAAATCCGGAGAGAAGTAAACCGCCATCTTCTGCAAAATAAAACCAGACTTTACAGGAGCAGCAAATCACAGCAAGACCATTCCCACAGATTATTGATCTGACACACAAAATGGTCTGATAATTGAAAACAAAATTCCCATTTTTAACAAAATATTCATCAACGCTGATCTCTGGATCCAGGAAGCAGCAGCTGTTAGCATGGACCCCCCCCAGGGGCACCATAGAGACCAACTGTCTTTGTAATGGGAATACAACACAAACTAGGTATGAGATGGTCCTGAAGACATGCAAAATTGCATCCCATTGGCTTTAATGCAAAATCGTATCCCATTGTCTCCAATGCAAAAATCGCATTCCCAGGAATAGCATGGTGGCGTACGTATTGCGCATGCACGGAGCGCTGGAAGACGGCGCGAACGCACTGCGCATGCACTGGCGTCTCTGGATCATTTCCAGTGACACAGTATATAAATAGGAATGACACACGGCACAGGCGTAATGGGTATCCCTTTCTGAGGAAGTGCAATTGCACGAAACGCGTCAAAGGGGCCATAACGCCGTGACGTCCAGCACCGCTCCTAACATAGGTCCCGTGGCCACCTTTCACTTTATACGGTCAGTGTACTTTGTTTGTATACTCTTATTTTATTGAATGTTTCCAAACCACGTGGAATAATAAATTCTTTTAAAAAATACTACACCATGGGCTACTTTTTGTTGACTCCTCCGTGAGCCAACGTTCATTCCTAGAGCCCACACCTCATGGCACAGGAGCCATTTCCATTTGCTGACACCAGTCCACCAGTGTAGAGGAGGACACCAGTTCCAGTGTGAGTTATCCGGGCCTATTTACCTAAGAGGCTTCCACGGTGACACCCGGTGATTTATACTAAGGGAGACGACCGTTTGGCTGCCCAATACCAAAAGGGAGGAGAGTCCATTAAGACGGCCCAGCTCATCCATCCCATCCCATGAGGGGGACCTCTGGTTATATTGATTATATGCATATTGAAAGATACGCATCTGGTGAGTGCGTATTTTTACTATTTATCACCTCGCCACTGGAACGTGAAGTCACTATCAACTCCTGTACCTATCACCTGCCACAAACTGTCACTATTTATTTTATTTTATTATATTATCATTTTACAGATTTGTGATTTATCTTGATTTTTACTTTTGACTATGATTTGGCTATGATTTGCACCAGCACTAGTACATATTTGTATATCTATAAACACTGCAGAATTCATCCGGCTGCTTCTGTCACTTCATCAATAAAAACCCATGACCCAGTGCCACTGGAAGCCGTGCATGCCCATGCCATCACACTGCCTCCACCATGTTTTACAGATGACGTTGTGTGCTTTGGATCATGAGCTGTTCCAAGACCTCTCCACACTTTTTTCTTCCCATCATTCTGGTACAGATTAATCTTAGTTTCATCCGTCCAAAGAATGCTTTTCCAGACTGGTCTGGCTTTTTTAGATTTTTTTTGGCAAAGTCTAATCTGGCTTTTCTATTCTTCAGGCTTATAAATGGTTTGCACCTTGTGGTGAACCCTCTGTATTTGCTCTCGTGAAGTCTTCTCTTGATTGTAGACTTTGACAATGATACGCCCAACTCCTGGAGAGTGTCCTTCACTTGTCTGGATGTTGTGAATGGGTTTTTCTTTACCATAGAGAGGATCCTGCGATCATCCACCACTATTGTCTTCTGTGGATATCCATGCCTTTTTATGTTGCTGAGCTCACCAGTGCATTCTTCTTTCTTCAGAATGTACCAAACTGTTGATTTGGCCACTCCTAATGTTGCTGCTATCTCTCTGATGGAATTGTTTAGTTTTAGAAGCCTTACAATGGCCTGTTTCAAGTGCATGGACTTCTCCTTTGAACGCTTCCAAATGCAAATACCACACTTAAATCAACTCCAGACCTTTTACTTGCTTAATTGAAGAAATAACGATGGAGTAGCCCACACCTGGCCATGAAACAGCTTTTGATTCAACTGCCCAATTACTTTTGGTCCCTTGAAAAAGGGGGGATGGCTACTCTTAAGAGCTTTAATTCCTAAACCCTACTTCCAATGTGGATGTACATACTCTCAAATTAAACCTGAGTGTGCACTTTCAGCTCATATCCATTATAGAACTATAGCTTGAATATGTTTTGGTAAATACCTGAAAAAAACTAAAACTGTGCTTGTGTGCAAATATTTATGGACCTCACTGTACATGACTCCTTTCAAAAACAGCAGGCTACATAGGAACCCTGGGTGATCCACAGACACCAACTATAAGGGTACCATCACAAACAGTGTAATCATCGCTCCTCACTGGTGTTCAGGATCAACAGGAACGGTCTCTTCCCACATTGTCAGATAAAGCAAAGGTAATCATTTACAACACATTATTTTTGCATTAAAAGCTAAAGCACATATTTCTGACCATGTGTTGTTTTATGTATATTTAGTGGTGTGATACATAGTCACCCCTCCCCCTTCCACTAGAAGTATTGCAGAGTTCTTCTCCCTGCCATCTCCTGTCAAATGTAGAATTTGGTGCAGATGTGCACAGCAGTGTCATTCATTTAGATATCTGTGAATAAAAAAAAAAAAAAACTACAAGTCCCATCTGCCACCATGGTGGAGGGACTCATAGTTCTCAATGGGGGGCACAAGGGCTGTGACCTCACTGGACTCATAGTCATCCGATACTTCCTCCAGCTCCATAAATGAAGGTATACACACGGTATGGACCTGAGCTAGAGGAATAGTCTTCAGGAGTCAGAGCATTGCACCCGCTATCCACTGATTATGGTTGCAATGCTTTGCAGTCTCCAATGCAAAAAACAAAAGTAAGTAAAATGCAGATTTTCGGTTTTAGCCGCATGAGTGCATTTTCTTATATATATATAATTTTTTTATTTATTTTTTGCAAAAGGTGGAATTATCCTTAAAGAGAGCTGCATCTGCAGCACACATCCATCTGCAGCACGCATCTGCAGCGCACATCCATCTGCAGCACACATCCAATAACTCTGACAGCACAAAGGAACAGAATGTACAATGAAATCCATACTGAGAGATGGATGGAAACTGCTGTAGCTGCCCTCTTTCTGAAAATGCTCATCGCCTGGCCTTGCGCCACTATTGGTCACTGACCTGGAATAAGCACAGTGCTGTTTGTCCATCAACACATGTTCACAGGAGGCATGGACAGAGGGGGATCTGCATACAGCTGTACATTGTGGACAGGGTGATTTATATTTAAGTACTGCACCATGGCTTATGTTTGCTGCACAAAACCAGAACCCCAACCCATCCATCCATCCATCCATCCAACCAGCCAGGCAGCCAGTGCCAGGTAACAGTATATCAGGACGATACCACATCTGACCAGTAGGTGTCGCACCTGTCACAAAAGCCGAGTAACTCCAGGAGGGCGCCGCTCTGAGGATCTTCTTCTGATCCGGATCTAAGCCTCTAATCTGAACCGGTTCGGGGAGGAGTAAAGTCTGCCCCTCCCCCTGTTCTAGTTGCCCGAATCCTCTGAACCCGAAGCCGAACCATACCATGGAGCGCAGCGATCACACCGCCGAGAGCGAACACCTACTAGTTCTCTGAGCAGCTACACTACCCTGTTTATGTTTTTGCGCATGCGTGAAAAGAACCTGCAATGCAAGTGCTCCCCCTACCGAGTATAGAGAAGACTGCAGCCACAGGACACTGGTGACCTTACTGGGGTTAGAGGATCTTAACCACCCGCCCTCCTGAGGATTTACCCCCCTTTCTGACCAGGTCATTGTTTGCGATACGGCGCTGACAATTGCGCGGTCATACAATGCTGCACCCAAATTATATTTACATCTTGTTTTCCCACAAATTGAGCTTTCTTTCGGTGGTATTTAATTGTCTGCGTGTTTTTTATTTTTTGCGCTATTAGCAAAAAAAACACCATTCTGAAAGAAAAACAATATTTTGACTTTTTGCTATTAAACATGTCCAGTAAAAAAATTTAAAAATCAAATTTCGTCATAAATTTAGGCCAAAATGTATTCTGCGACATGTCTTTGCTTAAAAAAAAATCCCAATATGTGTAAATTAATTGGTTTACATGAAAGTTATAGCATTTACAAATGGCGGTATAGATACTGGAATTTATTTTTTTTTACTAGTAATGGCGGCAATCAGCGACTTATAGCGGGACTTAGGCGGACATTCTGACACTGGGGGGCACTGACTTGGTGTCACTGAACTCCCCAGTGACACCAATACAGTGATCAGTGCTAATAAAAAGTGACACTGTACTAATGGCACTGGGCAGGAAGGGGTTAACATGTGGGGCGATCAAAGGGTTAACTGTGTGCTGTGTGTGTGCTTCACTGTAAGCACACTGTTATGCAGAGCCATACAAAGCAGTGTGCAGGAGCTGACAGGGGAGAGATCTGTATTGACTTTTTTTTTTTTTTTTTTTTTTTTTTTTTTTTTTTACATACAGATCTCTCCACTGTCAGTACTTTAATAAACCCTTGGAGATCGCTGGGTGCCAGGACTCGGTGATTGACAGCTGAGGTCATGAATGGCGGCGCGGGTAGGACTCGTGCACACCCATTAGCTCCCGGAACTGCAAAATCACATATATACATGATTTTGCGCACCCGTGCTGCCCTGTAGCAGTATTTGTAATATAGGGTGGCGCTGACGCGGTTAAAGTGGAACTACACTCTGAGTACAACAAACGGAGAGCTCTATTTAATACATTTTTAAATTTCAACGCAAACTCCCCCATCCATTCATGTCTCCATACTTTATTTTGCCAAGAAATCAGTAGGAAAATCATCCCACAAGCATTTCTGGTTGTCGCCATCTTGGGTAAGAGCAGATCATTCATGTAGCATTTGCTTCCTGGAATCCATCTGCCCTTAGCTCAGGCAGACAGACAGGAGGGTGCGCTTAGCTGAGAAAACCCCTCCTCCCCTCCCAAACACTCCTGGGATGTATGACATCATCTGCCTAGGCATAGAAACCAGGAAGTAACTAAAGGAATGTAAAAAAAGTGTTTAAAACAAGTAAATATGATACACCTTCTATTTATTAACCCCTATGTGCTGAGAGTACACAAATATGGGGCCTCTCGGCAGGTGGGTCTTGTTGCCAAGAGGCTGCATATTTGCGTACCCAAATGTAAATAAACCTGTGTGCTCTGGACACAGTCACCGACACCTAACAGAAAGCTCCCAATCGCTACATGAGAGCTTTCTGATCATGTGACCACTGCGACAGCCAAATGCGGCGGTCACATGATCATAAACCCCGCCCCCACCTCCCAGCATCAGAAACCTCTTAACCCCTTCACACCGGCGCCTCCCGGCCCTTTAAGGTTCCAGAAGTCGGGAGGCGGGGCGGGGTTTAGGGTCATGTTCCCGATCGAAAGAGGAGATCGGAACCTTTCCGTGAGCACCGGACATGTGTGCTGGGAGCACACAGTGCACGCGCTCTCGGCACATATGTCCTTTTTTAATTACATGCAAATGTGCGGCGCTCGGCGTCTAGGCCCAGACACCCGGGAGGCCACACATTTGTGTGCGGCTTGCATGAAGAGGTTAAAGGGCCAGGAGTCGCAGCGTTAGCGGTTAATGCCAGCAGCACAGGGATTCCAAATAGTCAATGCTGATTGAGGGAGTGAATTTCACTTTAAAAGATTGGTTCAGGTACGATATGGTGTAGAAACCCTGAATGATATTATGCCTGCGGGTACATTGCTAACCTCTCAGCTCTCCAGTCGTTTCATTTACCAGATTGGATGTTTTTCCGTTATGTCCAATTGTGCCATACTGCCAGAGCTCAATTCCCTACCCAGCCTCTCCTTCACATGGATCCTGTGGAGGAACTCTTGATAAGCCACTATCAACTCTCTATAGGACCTTCACTATCCACTCTCTATAGGACCTTCACTATCCACTCTCTATAGGACCTGATCCACTCTCTGACCTTCACTATCCACTCTCTATAGGACCTGCACTATCCACTCTCTATAGGACCTGCACTATCCACTCTCTATAGGACCTTCACTATCAACTCTCTATAGGACCTTCACTATCCACTCTCTATAGGACCTTCACTATCCACTCTCTATAGGACCTGCACTATCCACTCTCTATAGGACCTGCACTATCCACTCTCTATAGGACCTTGCTCATCACTGACTCTCCTAAACATGAACGTTTGTGGGACCTTTAGAAGGGGGACATTCCTTCCCTGGACAGGGAAGAGGGGGGACTGTCTTGAGCAGAGTCCTAAACGGTGGTCTCCTCTAGAGATAAATTGATCAGACCAAATTCCTGCATCGCATATATTATACTCTCTACTAGACTACATAAAAAGTATCCAGAGGCTCTCATTGCCCTCAATGCCAGATACATCTAGGTTCTTATTGCCATATTTTTTGGGAATGTCCTAGGGTTCAAGGTTTTTAGTCTGAAGTTTTTGATCTTATTAATCTTAGGCTTTGGCTGTCGATACCTAAATCCCCGGAACTGGCTGGGGAATCCCGATGACGCCCAGCGACCCCGCCATAGTAAACTATTGATTTGTTATCTTTTGTTTTACACCAAGAAAGAGATTCTTTGTAAATGGTGTCTAATGCTTCCCCCAGACATGTCAATCTTGGGAATCCGCTAATACTGCTCTGCCCTTCTACAAGCTGACGTGTATAAATCGTGGTTGTCCCTGGAAGTGTTCCAGGTTCGGCAGCCGTGGACATCCCAACAGGCAGAGTCTAGCTCATCCATTTCTTCTGCAACTGGAGGTTATGGTGGTGTGTCTAAGCCCTTTCTCCTTGATGTCCATCGTGCATTCCTTCCTTTAGTGCCAATGCCCTCCTCTGCTTGACTCCTTTCTCTGACCCCCCCACATGTCCTTGTTCCATTCCTTTCCCCACACCCCCCTGAGGTGACATTGCTGACTTCATATTTTGACTTCATATCAGACCTATGGCTATTGTAGTACATCTTGTCTGTATTTAGGTGAGATGCTGGATTAATTTCCGATATTCTGCCTAAATACATTTACACTACGATATACCATGTCAACAACTTTATTTCCTTTTCCATATGCTATATCACGTTTTCCTTCAAAAAAAAAAAAATTCTGTATTTTTTCTGTAAAGGTGAACCAATACTTTAAAATGACTCTACATTTGTGCAAAAATAGTCCATTTAACCACTTCAATACCGGGCACTTTTACCCCCTTCCTGCCCAGGCCAATTTTCAGCCTTCAGCGCCGTCACACTCTGAATGACAATTGCGCGGTCATGTAAAATGTATGATTTTGTTCACACAAACAGAGCTTCTTTTTCGAGGTATTTAATCACCATTGGGTTGTTTATCTTTTGCTAAATAAATGAAAAAAGAGCAATAATTTTTTTTAACAAAACGAGTTCTTTATTTTTGTTCTAACATTTTGCAAATAAAAATTATTTTTTCATACATTTAGGCCAAAATGTATTCTGCTACATTTCTTTGGTAAAAAGAACTCAAATCAGTGTTTATTTTTTTATCCACAAACTATGGGATATATCTGAAAATTGATCAGTCCCGATGTCCTGACAGCCTATCTCATTTCTTGAGGCCCGAAAACTCCAGGACAGTACAAATACTCCCAAAAAACTTCTTTTTTGGAAAGTAGAAAGTTTGAGGTATTTAGTAGGAGATATGGCAAGATTTTTTAAGTATTTTTTTGTCACAATGAAGGAAACTGAAGAAAATAGTTTTTTTTTAATTTTTTTTTTTTTTTTTACATACTGTCACCAGTACAGCGTCATCATATAAATGGTGTAGCAGTGATCAGGGACACTGACTGCTAACATTATGTAAAAAAAAAAAGTAATAATTTTTTTTACATTTTTGTACTTTTTTTTCTGTTTTTATTATATTTTTTTCTTTTTTTTTACTATTATTTTTTTTTTTACATACTAGACACAATGCATGGCAAGAATGAAAGCCATCCATTGTGTACACTTTTCATTTGATCTGCTGTAATAGGTCCCAGTGATCACATGTTATTGGCAGCGGGCCTGTACATTGATCTGTAATCGGCTGTGGTTGGTCAAGGGAGGTCCTGCCTGGCCATCATTTGTCTATAAGATGGGCGGAAACTAGTTAATGTGTAGTACGTTGGTTGTGGGTAGTGTGCACTGCTCTATGCACACTACAAATTTCATGGTCCATAGTTCATTGTCCATGTTGGAGCGAGCAAGGGAGGGTGGTTAGGTTCCTACATACATTGGGACCAGGGAGAATGAATGTAGTCATCCTCTAACAGGAAGTTAGATCACAGCAGGAAAAAGAAAAGAAATTAGGAGGAGGGTGAGAACATTAGAAGGTACTCTCGTGACCTAAGAATACATACCTGAACAGAACGTTTTGTTTTGAAACCAGTTTAGTGTCACTTTAACACTTTAATAATTTTAGGCCTGAAGGTACCTTTAAACCCCCCAAAACATTATATATTTTATGAAAGCAGACACCCTACAGAATAAACTGGTAGATTTTTTACATCACATGATATTAGAGCAACGGTTTATCAAGTGAAAAGTTTTAGTTAAAAAAAAAAAAAAAAAAAAACACCTTTCAGTTGATTTTAGGACACACAAACGTAAAATATTACCCAATTTTTGGTAAAGTATAAAAGATGAGACTGCGCCAAATAAATAGATACCCAACATGCCAAGACTTAAATTACATGTACTTGTTCGATTTCTTCTGTTTCCTGGAACTAGATACATTTTTTCTGTTATAATAATTTTTATTGAGAATAGTATAGAAGCAAAAATCAGCAAAACTCCCATGCAGAAAGGCACATAGTGAATACAGAAATGTAAGTATATGTAGCACAACAGCTTCAAATAAGTATTAACCACTTGCCTACCGGGCACTTATACCCCCTTCCTGCCCAGGCCAATTTTCAGCTTTCAGCGCTGTTGCACTTTGAATGACAATTGCGTAGTCATGCAACATTGTACCCATATGACATTTTTATCATTTTTATCATCAACTTTCAGATTTTTTTTATCAAAGCTTAAAAACAAGCTGATGTTAGAAGCTGATTGGCTCCCATGCACAGCTGTACCAGATTTTGCACTCTGCAGCTTTAGTATGTCTCCCCCAATGTGTGCCGGAGGTTGGTACTGGGTGCTTGAGTCCTGGGACCCAGGAGCAGAAAGGAGAGGCAGAAGGTTCCAGACTAGATACAAAAAAGAAAAAAAGGAGGGGAAAGGTTGGAAAGAAAGGGGATGGGGAACGTGGCAGGTATGGTTCCCACAGGATCAGGAACAGGTATCGGTAACAAGGATTACCCAAACTGGTTGGATGCTTAGTTGGAAGAGTATAAGACCACCAGAAGATCCACACTTTGAGGAAAACAAGAGTGGGAATCATGTAGGATGCTTGTCACCGTATCGCGAACCATTAGGGTGGTCAGAATGTTCTACACCTCCACAAACAAAACAGAGGGCTTTTTCTAGGCCCTGGTTGTTGTACGTTTTGCAGCTATAAATAGGTAGGTTGCCAGTTTCTGTTGGTATGAAAATAGATCTGGGATCGGCAGTCCAGAAGAGCAAGTTTAGCAAAGGGTGTATGAAACAAAATGAACAAGAGCCCCAAGATCCTCAACCAAAATTCCACAAGGCGAGGGCAGGACCACCATATACGGACCTCATGTCGGCGCTCAGCATGACAGCCGGGTACCCAGTGCGCATGAGTGAGAAGCACTTGCGCTTTGTGATTGGTCCGGCGGCTTCTGGGATCTGTCATGTGTCCCAGGTACCGCCTTACCATTCACAATGAGCACCACTTCTTGCGCATGCGCACTTGGCACTCAGCTGTCATGCCCAGCGCCCACACTACAGAAGCCGGGAAGACAGAGCGCCGCTGGATAGAGGAACAGGTAAGGTCAAAGAACAACTCCGCGGAAGTAAGAGAGGGTACCTGTCAAATTCAGGTACCCGCTCCCCACCTCCCGAAAGGTCAGCAGTCATCTCCATAAGGTCCCGCTGCAGAGCTGAGCGGCCAGCCTGGTATTCTGACACGGGCAACGGTGGAAATACCGGACCGGCCGCTCCATAAAAGACGCACCGACATTTTCCCCCCTTTTTTTGGGGGAAAAAAAGTGCATCTTATGGAGCGAAAAATACGGTACATCTAACAGAGGTTATTTGATGGCGGAGCTGAACATAATGGAAGAATTCAGAGGGTGCCTCATGACTCTCCTGGATCATAGGCCACGAGGGAAAGGTACAGGATGTGAAAAAGTGATGGGATTTGTGTCTTTTATCAACCTGAATAACTATGTAACAAACTTTGGTACCCTAAATTTAGAATAAGCGACATTTTAAAAGCCCCTACAGATCATCTGTTTAGAGTTAACAGTGAATAATGGGCCTAGAATTATTGCATTCACTCCAGGAAACACGATATGTAATGTGTAGCACAATCGACATTTGTGTACATAGGTGCCCCCAATGTGTGTTTTTGTTGCTCGTTTTTGTGTATGTATGTATTGGGTGGCGTTCAGGTTTGACTTTTTTTTTTACTAAAGTTTTATATATTTTGCACATAAGGGACCAACAGTCCCTGCTGCGATACTATTTTGTAATGACAAACTCCATTTTAGATTTCTGATGTCTCACCTGCCTTCTATTTTCAGCTAATGGAGCATAGATTGCACTCCACTAGCATCTTCCTCGGCCAAAGCAACCAGCGAAAATGACAACTGAAGCACAAGATGACGTCACATTTGCAGTGTTTCAGAATGCAAACTGAGCTGCCCATGTGCACCTCCCTGTACATTCTGCAGAGGATTGCGAATAGGCAGGTAAGTGTTTTTTTTATTACAGAGGAGATACTGCATGCCTCTTCTGCAATAAAGATCCTGCCTGTTCACAAATTTTAAGATTTTAGCTTTAGTTCTGCTTTATTTCTTATACATTTGGAACGTCAAACAGCAATGCCGGGCAGACAACAAACAAAAGCTAACAGGCCTAACAGTAACAATCTTCTTCATATAACAAGGTAAGTACAACTGACAAGGTCCTTAGAGGATCGCCTGTAAGACCTTTCAATGCCCTCCAGGCATATTTGCCCTCAATCTGTCCATTATTATACATAATATACAACTTTGTAGGCTCTCAAAATGTATAGATTTAGGGCTGCAGATATACTGGGGTGGCCTCTGCAGCTTACGCATATATTTGAAAATGTGTGCAAACTAAACCCCTTGTTTCCTTGGCAATGTCCATGTGAACTGTTAGACAGGGTAATTCGGTTTTACTTAAAAAATGTGGATAGCGGCGCTGGATAGAAAAGAAAAAAAAAAATACAAAAGAATAAGAATTAAATGATTATAGCCAAAAATGGGGAAGAGCAGCTATCTGATCTTGAAATCAAGCTGCTAAATAGGATAATTGGTCAATTAAGACAGCGCTCCTCACTAATAATATACCTCTTAGTGCAACCAAAGAAAATGTAATCAATATTGGTGCAAATAAAGAAATTATAATTACATAAAATTATAAACTATACAAAAACAGTGACTCCATGACTCTGTAAATAAATGAATCAATATTCAAAAATAAATGTCCAAAGAAAATGTCCATAAATATATATTGTGAAAAATAAACTTATATATTCTCCTCCGAAATTCTTATTAAACCTTCTGTGTTGTATAACCCAAAACCTTGTGAATTCCACCACCAAACGAATTAAATACACTCACCAGAGCTCCATGCTGGTAAATTATAACCAGCTGAAACACTTTGGCTCTGGGAGCAATCATCTGACTATTGCAACTCCTTAATTTGGATCTTCATGCAGTCAAATGGGACCATAAAGGAAAGGAAGAGGAATCTACAAAGCGTAAAACCATCCAGGCATTTTATTAAGTTAAAAACTTCACATACACTCACATTGAGAAGTGTCACAGCTGACACTAGCATAGATCAGATAAAACAATGTTGGTAATAGGTTTGCTGTGGTCATAATTTGACAAAGGCAGCTCACCCATACATGGTGATGTCACCTCCAAGGCCCCGCCCTACGCGCTTCATCATCCGACCTCCCTCCAGGCATACCTGCCTTCAATCTGTCCATTATTATACATGTGCTCCAACTTCAGAGGCTCTCAAAATGTATAGATTTAGAACTGCAGATATACTGGGGGGCCGTGATGTGCAGCTTATAGTTACATAGTTAGTCTGGCTGAAAAAAAACAAAAGTCCATCCATTTCAACCATAAAAAAAAAAAAAAAAAAAAAAAGTTATAGTCCTATACCCACAGTTGATCTAAAGGAAGGCAAAAAAAAACCCCAGCAAAGCAAGATCCTGCAGGGGAAAAAAATTCCTTCCTGACCCCCTAGAGGCAATCTATCCATATTTGCAAATGTGTGCAGAATAAACCCCTTGTTTTAATGGGAACGGTTAGACAGGGTAATTCAGTTTGTTGCAGGCTGGCTGGTAAGTGAGCAAGGAATTTCTGTTTGTTACTTTTAAGACTTTCCAATGGAGGCCAGAGTCATCTGACGCCTGAAAGTCCAGATGGTAAAACTTTGAGAATATCTGAGCAGAAGATTGGGTGGCCACTTTACAGACCTGGGAAACAGAACTGATTTTGAGAAGCACACAAAGCACCTATACTTCTGGTAGAGTGGGCCTTCAAGGGTTGTACACCTGAATAATGATTTGCCTAATCCATGGAGCCATTGTGGATCGAGAGTTAACCTGCCCCTTCTGGGAGCCTTCAGGGATACAGATTGATGAAGTAAGGCTGTGGATAGGACGTAGACTTACACAATGCTAACCACTTCCATGCAGTGGAGCCCATCTTCTTAGTTTTTGGAGCCAGAAAAAAGGTAGGAAACACAAGTCTTGATTCAAATGCAACACCAAAACCACATTAGGCAGAAAGGAAGTATATGGCCTCAACACAACCTTGTCCTTTAAAAGCCTGCTAGCACAAGACACACCCAAGTAAGGCCTCATTCACCCAGCACTTATGTACCAGCTGCAACATGAATCCAGTGTTTCTGTGGCTGGATGCACAGGTGAATGCAGATAGTTGCAGCTACTCAACCTGTACAAGGTAATGACACGTTGACATCTGTGAATTCATCCTCAGGAATGTGCTGGATTCATGCCACAGTTGCTGCATAAATGTCATGTTAATGAGATCTAAGGGCCTATGAGCTTGTTTGGATGGCAAAATAGTCAATTCCATGTTTTAGTGAACTGTAAATAGTAGCTACATACATATACAGTGTTGTGTTCTGGCAGCAGGACATGGACTTCACGTTCTGCTCCCAGAAAAAATTAGTTAGGCGGAGTTCTGCTCAGCCATTCACAGGAAGCCTTGTATTTTATGAATGAACACAAAGCTACCTCTGATTGTTTAACCATTTGCCGCCTGCCCTATGGCCGAATGGCGGGCAGCAAATGTCATCAGCGTACACGGCGCGATCTGTCACCGGCCGTGTACCTCGGACACGGCCGATGACAGATCTGAGTATCAGCTTGTACCATGTGACAAGCTGTGACCAATCACAGCTCACTCAGTACTTCTCAATGAGTGCAAGAATGCAGCCAGAGAGAAAGAGAAATGATTGCTTTTACATCTTATATGGGTGTAAAAGCAATCAGTGTAAAAAAAAAAAAAAAAAAAAAAATCTTCATCGCCCCCCACTAGTACAGTGTCACCATGGTGACACTGTACTGCTAGGGTGACAGTATGTAAAAAAAAAAAAAAAAAAAAAATAATAATAAAAAAAATAAAATTGTAAAAAAAAAGTTTAAAAATTATAATTTTTGGTTATAAACCAATTTGGATTTTTTTTTTTTTTTACTAAAAAGATAACGGAATAAATTGTGGCCAAGATTTATGATGAAATATAATTTATTTGCAAATTTTATAAAAAAACACTTATTTTCAAAATTTTTGGACTTTTTCATTTACATAGCAAAAAAAAATAAAAAATCCCAGCGGTGAATAAATACCACAAAAATAAAGCTTTATCTGTCTAAAAAAAAAGGGAAAAAATTCATTTGGGTACAGTGTTGCATGACCGCGCAATTGTCATTCAAAGTGTGATAGCACTGAAAGCTGAAAATTGGCCTGGACAGGAAGGGGGGGAAAGTGTCCGGACAGGAAGTGGTTAATGCTTTTTAACGTTATCCAAAACAAGTCATAGGTTATGCAGTGCTGCATTGAAAGCCAAAATGTATAGAACTGTTTTCAGGTGAATATAGCAGAGGCCCTTTTCTTTGTGTACTTCATGCTTTAATACCTTAAACGGATTTAAAATCTCATAGCCGATTATAGATGTATCTTTTTTCCATAATTCTGTATCAGCATTCAGAAACCACATCTTTTTGTAGCTTTAAGGCCCCTTTATATGTTATGTGTTTACATACAGTTTAAGGCGTATTAATGTGTGTTGTGGTGCGTTCTCAATATGCCTTCAATGAGTTAAATAAAAAATAAATAAAAAAACTGGTTAATTTTTTTCCCAGCACACCACAAGGTAACGCGTGTTCTTTATTGCATGTGTTGCAGTGTGCGGAGAAGCAGGTGTGTGTCTTTGTTCAGTGTAACCTTGCTGAGATGCCATTGAAAATGAGAAGCAAGGCATTGTAATGTGCTTACAGAATACCGCATGAAAATATTAGCAATGGTGTCAACAGGAATGTAATCAAATCATTTTGTTCAACACAGCATTTGTATAAATGTTCTGTTCCTTTATTCTTTTATTTTTCAAAAGGCTGATAAATGATTTTCATTGAATAGTGCTAGTCTTGTCATAAAAAGAAAGATGTGAAAGCAATGGAATGACATTGAGCAGTATGTTGAAATGTGAATTGTGCTAAAAAAACAAAAACAAAGGAATGTACCATTTATAAAGAAACAATACAAAAGAAGAGTAAAAATACCCAAATACAGCACACCTTATAGGACACTAGTCATCTCAGCAGGTTCAGACATCTGGATGGTCAGTAGGAAATAAAAAGCTGCAGCTATAACTTTGGGCGACATATAGGATGATAACACATGAGCTACAAAATCACCAGTCCGGGGATCACTTAGAAGCTGCCCA